CTAAACAGAAGTACAGCAGTCACCCCCTGGAAATATCCATGGTTTTCTCCCACACACTGCCATTTTGGATATTTCCAGGGGGTGACTACTTCTGTTTAGGGTACTTGATGAGTATCATGATCAAGGGTGGGTTGTAGCGAAGTAGTTGTAGTTCGCTACTGTAGCGAACTACAATTTTCAAGTAGCCAGTAGTTTTTGACTACTTTTTTAAAACAGTAGTTGTAGTTATAGCGAACTACATTTTGCTAAAAGTAGCCAAGTAATTGACTACTTTTCAAACAGAGAATCGCTATTTGCTACTTTTTAAAATTGTTAGCAACTTGATAGAATAGCATGATATTGAGACACGGTTTGTTTAAAATCAATACTCAATTGCACTCCTGAACACTGAAGTGCTTACAAAAATGTTGCTTTGTGTTTACTGTTGCGACTCGTAAGTCGATTTGTTACAGATTACATTACTGCCTGAGTTAGTGGATGCTCCAGATATAGTAAAACTAAAAAATATAGTGTAGCGAAATAGTTCTCTACAATTTTTAAGCAGTAGCTGTAGTCAGTAGCAAACTACCTTTGTTCAAAAGTAGCAGTAGTTGTAGCTGACTACATATTTTTGAAGTAACTGTAGTTATAGTGAACTACAAAAATTTTGTGGTCAACCCACCCTTGATCATGATGAATAGCGCTTACGCAAAAAACTATGGAGATTGCCTTCTGTTTAGTATTCTGTGACAATAGTTTATTGTATTTCATTTTGTGAGCATAGTACCGGCAAGGGGTCTGACAAAATTGAAATTATACATACCATTTGATATCGATTAGACAAATAGCTGGTGAACCAGTACAGGCTAGAGTGGAATACCAATGGACCATTTGCATTATAGACTAAATTTTGGTCTAGACAAAAATTTCATCACAGCTTGAAAGAGCATCACAAAATTAGTAATATTCCAAAGTTTCATTGCGAAATGTTGTAAAATGTGGATAATATAGCCTTGTGAAGTTTGCAATTTTCAGTCATTTTGTATTACAAACGGGAAATTGATGCCCCAACACCCGATTAGGCTGTCAATTTCCCGTGCGTAATACAAAATGACTGAAAAACGGCAAACTTCGCATGGCTATATTATCCGCATTTTACAACATTTTGCAACGAAACTTTGGAATAGTACTAATTCTGTGATGAAATTGTTGTCTAGATCAAAATTTAGTCTAATGCAAATGGTCCATTCCTTCAGTCCCACGGTTTGTTTAATAATGTTCATCATGTTCAATACTGTAACAACTTTAGCTTAGTTCAATGCTTGGAATATGCATTATAACACAATTATTCATCAATATCAGACATCACTGACAGGTCAGTAACATCAATGTCACTTGTATAATCACTTAGTTTCTCTGTATCTTGAATGTATTCTCCACCATATTCCAAATTATACATAGTTAGTAATTCACCATCTGCTTCACTCCCATATGTATCTATTTCAGGAATGTCAATGTCATCAAACACATCTTTGAATATGTGCAAAATTTGAACAGCATGATCTTTCTTGAAAACAGGAAATGTTGTAGTGATGTAATATAAAAAAAATGTACTTACAATTCTTGACAACAAGATCAATAAGTGACGCAGTAAATCCTGTGGAACTGTCTGCGGAAAGGTAATATGATTTGTCATTCAACTGGATATGCTGTTTCATTTCAAGCAACAACTCCCTAAGCGACCGCTTTTGTTGTGCAGTAACAACCCTCGATCTCTCTTCTGGTGAGGACGAAATGAGAAAATCCAAGTCAGTTTCAATAATCACACTACATTGTCCAGGCTGAAGACAAGAACCTATTTTATGACAAACAGTACAGCAATTGTGAGGTGTGTCATGTGGTGTAAATAGAGACTCAAATTCTGCAAGAAGAATTTCTCTCAAACACCGTTTGATATTAGATGCATACAATTTCATCTGTGTATCACACTTCCTAAGGAGCATACCATTGTACATTAGAATGGACACAGCTGGCAGGTTGTCTCACCCTGCTCTACCAATCTCTTGAATAAAATCATCCATTTGCCTTGGAGGCCCGTAATGGATAACTGTTCGAATGTTTCTGAAGTTAACACCCATCCCTAGTGCATTAGTGGCAATAATGATTCTACAAACTCCTTGCATGTCATGGAGAGAGTTGATAATTCTCTCCTTATGCTTTTGAAGGGTTGAGTGGTGGTACATGCCCACAAGCATATTGATTGAAATTTGTTCTGTACCTGCTGGGTAGTAGGCATCACTTCCAAGTTTGCATTTAAAATATGTAAAAATTCTACCGCAATCTTTAATTGTCTTACAGTAAATCAAAACTCTATCCATGGTGTTCATTTCCTTCTTTAATTTTTCCACTAACCACTGAAAGCTTGAATTCAAGTCATTTGATATTTTCTTAACACTGAGGTAGATGTTTGGCCAGTTGGGATTAGCATCAATCAAAACCATATCTTTTTTCAGGCTCAACGACTCAGTCACATTCTTCTTAATTTTCTTTGTAACAGTTGCAGTAAGCGCAAGAACAGGTGCCCCTGGTAAGATAGATCGAAGTTCTCCAAGTCTTCCAAAACATTCTCTAAATGCCAAACGTTTCTCTTTTTTGTCATTCTGTCCCCTAAACAAAAAATACATTGTTTGCCCACTTTTATTTATAACTCCATCAGGTTGTTCAAACCTCCAGGCATCTTATTCCCATGAACTAAATTAGAGTGCAGTTTATATTTACCATGGCAAAATCAACATTGTTTCCAAAGAAATGTCACAAAGTCAAAATTTATTCATAGTTGTACATCAATAGCATCAGTACCCTGACTGTGTGACATTTTCAGCCTGATAAAGGGGTTTTTCACAGCCCTTGCAAATCCCAAGGGTGTCTCATCTCTTTGAAACCTTCTTCAAGGTAAATTTGTTTGCACAAAGCGAAAAACACATCTTGGCAATGCTTTTTTACTGTTTGTACAAACAAATTTGTCTAGTGGAAAATGGGCTTAATAGGCCGAGTCTGTATCCTCAAAGACTGTACAGTGTGTCGGATAAAATGCAAAATAGAATGACAGTAACCAAGTATTTATACATATTATTGTAAGCACTTTCCTAAGTTTCATTAAAGTGCAAACAAAACAATTGCTTTAAATCAAGGAGGGCAATGAAAGCCATTGAAAATAAATATTTATTGCCTGCCACTCAGCCAATATATTTGGAAAAGTACCTACTAGCCATTTAGTGCAACTACGGTTAGTAACATTGAAGTCATTGGACAGAGTGTAAAAATCTGAAGTTGGAATAAAAAAAGTAAAAAGATACTACATTATTTGGATGTGCCTTTTTGAAGGTAAAATAGAGTTATGCACAACACTCACCATTTAGGAATGACATGTGCTTCGTCAGTCACTACTCCAAACAAGTTGTTTTGATAAATTTCAGTGCTCAGCATCTCATGCCACTTTGCATTCATAATCAAAGATTCTGGATTGGCAAATACTATAGAATATTTTCCAGCAAGTATACCACGTTCATCCAGTTCATCATTCGACAAACATGTTGCAGAAATTCTGCATTTCACTAGGTCTTTAAGGCGGGAATCGATTAGAGAATTCAATGGACATATGACAAGTAATATTGGTTCACTTGAGACTTGAAGATGTATTAAATTTAATCATCTGCATAATTCTGGTATTAACTGAAATATTAGAGATTTTCCGTGACCAGTGGGCAGAATAGCAAACACGTCCTTACGGTTTATATAATTCCATAGCGCTTTATACTGTTATGTGCTTAATCTGTCGATATTTGAGAATTTTTCTCGTAAAGTTTCCTTAACAATTTTATCAAACACTTCGCTTGACAATGACGACGCCATCTTTTTCAGTAATTTATGTAAATTATTCTGTTTAGATAACCTCCACCAATCAGGTGTCTAGTACATATTCTGTACTAAAATCGTTAATTTTGTGTTGTGATTGGCGCGGTTTAATCAAAGAATCTCCCCGTTGAACCAGAGCCTTCACCGCGTTTCAATTTATTACACAGGAAACCCTATCTGGGAAACTTTCTGAAGGCTCTGGAACCCAGGGCATTAACTCATTAAGTTGCAGACTGTTGCAACATTGGCACTCCCCAAGTTGCAAGGAAAATGGCAAATTTTAGTTACTGTCAACTTCTGTCAACTGCTTTTACAAAAATACCCATATCTCAAGATCAATGTTATAAAAAACCTTGAAATTTGGCAAAGGGTTAAAATGATAAATGATTAATCAATTCTATTTTAAATGAGCTCCCACACTTAAATATATCATTAGATTTTTGGGTGAGAATTCTTGGTTTGTGTAAATTTAAGTCCCTGACATTTTGTTTCTTCATGACACCCAACATCTGAAGGGCAATAATTCAATAACTCAACATAAATGGAGAAATATTTTTTGATTCCTGGATTGGTACACATTTATTTTCAAATTAGTTTTCATCTTGTAGGGTATAAATTACAAAATAATGAAACGCTATAAAAATTTGCTTGGGCATAGCTCAGGCACACAATGGAGAACGTGAACTTCAGAACTTGTCGTTCAAGTCCAAAAACTCTGCAACCCAAAAATACAGTGTTTGTACCTCTTTGAAGTTTTTAAATAGCTCAAATATGTTTGGAAAAACACGAAGTACAAAAATTACTAATTAAAATATAAACAAAGGACGAAAAAGGTGAGAAAATTTAAAAATATTTGAGGTGTTTTCAATTCTGACTTTGACAGCCGGCATTTTCAAACGCAGCGTGCGGTGACAAAACAAAAGGCTTTTTATTTCGCTATTAAGCTAGAGCACTGAAAGTCGCCAAAAAGAGATAAACACTTTTGAATATTCATCAGGTAAGAATTTTAACTGAAATTCCTTTTGTTTCTGTTGAGAAAACAACGGATTTGTGGCTAAAACGTCGTGCGCGCCAATGTAGGTTGCTGTAAAATGTCAGACAGGCGGTTTCTTTTGAAATCTGACTCTAGTTTGAAATCTGACTCTAGCTTGAAATAAGTCCTTTTCAAGGACCAATTGTATAAAAATATAATATGTATGCTCAAATAAAATGAATAATCTAATATTTAGGCATTTTAGATTGCTATAAAAGAGTGAAATAAAGTATTTCATCTTTGGTTGTTTGTCAGACGAGAGTAAACACATTGGTGACACTTTGTTGCGCATGCAGTTTTCAAAAGATAAACTGCTAAAAATATAGCTTTTATTTCACCAAATAGCAAAGTATCTTGCAGATATTATTAAAAGAGCTCAAGTGAAGTAATTCCATGCTAAATAAGTGAACAATGAGACCAAAAAAGCGACTAAATTACAATTTTGGAAAGTACATAAATTTAATGGCTTCCTGCAAAACAAGCCATTTCAGAGAACGGCATTTTGTAAACTGCTCTCCTGACCTATTTTAAACTTTTCCTTCAGGTAATCGATGAGTACTTCTTAGAAAATGAGCGTACATTATTTTTATGATGTGCTTTATTGATTTAAAAATTTTATGGGGGATATATGAAGTGATAAAGTGTATTTTAGAAGCTTTTCAAATCCCTGTCATGAAGGTTCAGAATTCGCACGCGCCAAGTAACGGCATAATTCAATACACTGATTTTAAGCCACATTATCTTTGAAATGAGAGCTCGTTTCGAGACAAAGTTTATAGAAACAGATATAGTATTCATTGTAGAGTATTCTACTTAGTATTAATGCGGTTTTACTCAAAATTTTTCTTGCCAAAAATGTATATACGCACATGACAAGTTGAACCTACTGTCTTCTGAAAGTACTTCGGCTAAAATAACAACTTGAGCAAGACGACCAACAGTAGGGTCACGAAAACAGTCGAAATCATGCCATAAAATGCACGAAAAGTTCTTCTAAAAACTTAGTTTTAAACTAGATTGAACTTGCTTTAATGCTATATTGTATGAGGCGCGGAATTGGACATTATTCTGAACTTATTATAAACATGCTAAATTCAAAATATACATGGCATATTTTACATACACAGTGATAATTTTCAAAAACTTGTGCTAAACTTATAAAGGCCATTCTAAACATCATCATATACATTCAGAACTTCTTGCATCGTGTTGTCAAATTATATAACTTATTCTAAACTTTTAAATAACATGCCAAAGTTTTTTATAACATGCCAAACTTTAATTTGTGCCGCTATCCATTTTACATCGTATTCCAAATTTTCATGACATGCTAAACTTTTATCATATGCTGAAAGCACTTTTATATCGTGTTGCATAATGCATTGCGGTCGCGTACCTGCACAACCCGACAAATCACAGCCTGTGCCTGAATATTGTTTCGCGGGTTTTATAGTGAGTAACATACAGCCTATACAGGTGATTATCATTTTACAGAACTTTTAAAATCGCAAATCAAAAGAATGGCTGAAAATCGGCAAATAAGTGGAAACCTTCGAACTGCGCTTTGTAATATTGCTCATGAAGCTAGGAACTTATTGGACAATTTCGACGATCGAAATAGTTTGGCGATCGAGAGGCAGTTGATGCAATCGACACCAACAACAACGCAACCTGCTCGAGAAGGCGACAGAGAAAGAAGCGTGACGGCCGTTAGTACAAATGCGAGTAATATAACACATCATCAATCGAGAAATCGACCTGATTCTTCGTCAAGTCTGTCACCTCCAAGCATTTCATCTGTATTAATAAACAGATCTAGTAATAATCCATTGTTTACAAACAACATTAGCATATCACGTGGTCAAAGACGAAGTGAGGATGTACCTGCAGCTCTTCGAAGGTCTTTTCCAACCCTTGCATCAAAAAGTTCATCCAAGTCGGTCAAAAAACCACCAGGAAAAAAGGCAAGGAAATGCAATATTGTGCACAAAGATCTCATCCTACTCCCTACCTCCACCACTCGTACAGTACCAACACATCAAACAAGATGTCAACTTGAAAATGATGGGTTTGTCATCCATGGTTGTCCCATTGACAAGTCTTGGGAAGAGTCAGACCTAAGAAATCAAATAAAAGAATGGTTCCCCATTCTGGAAGAGAACAATATTGATATTGACTTTGTCAAGTCCTGCTATGGCCAAATTGTGACTCCGAAACTAGCTACAGGTGTAAAATTTACAGCTGCTCGTATATTAAGCCTTTCTGGACAAGGTAGTATATATATACGCCCAAAGGAAGACATTCCGAATGAAGATGATGCTGGTTCATACAGTCCAGGAACAGGCACATATTATTCTGATAATACTGACATAGATCCATCAAATCTTGTATCTATCAATGAAGAACAAGATTTACCTCACAACATGCCTTGCTCTTCTTCAACAAGCCAGCAGGAAAACATTGACACATTACAAGAAATGTTTCCAAATATAGCTGATGATGTTTTAGGACATGCACTTGTAGTACATGGAACTGTAGATAAAGCAGCTTTGTCTCTTTTAGCAAATACAAGTAATCCATTAGTTTCAATTAGTGACGATGAAGATGATGAAATCCTGCAGCATCCATCATTTTTACCTCAGGAGACAACCTTGAATTCCATTCTAAAAATGCTTGAGGGAAGACTCAGTAGTGAAAAAGAGAAGGTCAAAGTTGAAGAGGAGGACCTCTTTAATGATGCAATGTGCTATTATAAGGATCCCAATTTTGATGCGAGAAAGAGGCTTAGAGTCGTGTATGAAGGCCAACCAGCAGTTGATACTGGAGGGGTCACAAGGCAATTTTTTACCAATCTGTTAAACATAATTAGTGACATGTTTTTTGAAGACAGTACTTACAAAAGTCCAATTTATAATGCTGATGTTGTTGCATCAGGAATGATGAAATACATTGGAACAATTATTGTCCATAGTATTCTACAAGGTGGTCCTGGTTTTCCAGTATTCAGCCCTTCTGTTTATCAATATTTAGCCACTGGTGATTTTGAGTTGGCCATGAAAACTGCTAACATTGGGGAATGTTCAGCACACATGAAACATTTTATTAATCAGGTAAGGAAATAATGCAATTGTTAAATTTTAGCAGATATTCAACGCTCTGAGTACTGACACTCTCCCCTTGATGAGTAAAATCATCAGCCATTAGAAAGAGTGAATTATTATAGTATGGTTCATTGGTGTGCATTGCAATGTAATGGGCTGATTGACCATTTACAATGCAGACTGATTCGCTCTTCCCGTATTATTTTATAGTTTATTGTACTCTTTTGTATTTCATGGTGCATTATACACTTGAAATGCCAGACAAACAAGCCTGGATATGAAAAATTTCTTCCTAATAATTTGGAATAAATATAACTATAAATCCTTTTTACACCCCCCCCCATACCCCATCCACCATACACCCAGTCCACCTGAGAAAAAATAACCTTCGGATATAAATTCACCATAGTCACTAATGTCCAGGACATTTTGAATATAGCCCATTTATGCATACAGGTAAAAGGCTTTGACCTTACAGATGAACAAGAAAGATGCTATTTCTAAAAGCTGATTTACATGTCGCTACACCTTTTGCCTAAGTCTTGAGTTGTATTGTGTAAATCAAGCACACAACTTGCCTATGTTGTTTTAAGGGCTGATTACAGTACATGCAGAGTTTTCCGCCCGGGCTAAATTTCAACCTGGTTAATTAACAGAGTTAAAATTGTTTCATGATCACATGGAAAATTTCGGCCCGGTCTGAGTCTAAAATTCAGACCGGTTTGAAATTTCAGCTCGGGCTGAAACAAACAAGTATCAAAAATGGAGCGATTCCACTTCTTCGAAGAATTTGAAATATTGTTAGATTATTCAACTTCTGTGAGACTGTGGTTGCATTTAAAATTAGAACAGACAGAAATAAAGCCATTTACAGTAAATGCTGGTTTTTCAACCTGGGTCTGGGATGAAATTCCCTGCATTACATGTTGACTTTCCTACATTACAAGTTAAATGAAATTTTCATCTCGGGTACCTCAAACCGGGATGAAATTTCAGCCTGGCCTAAATTTTAATCACGGGCTGAAATTTTTGTCACGTAATCGAAAACTTTATTTTATAAGGATTTTATAGGACGCCAGAGCTGAAACTTCAGCATCCTGGTCAGCCCACCCGAAATTTTAACCTGGGCTGAAAATCTCCATGTAATCGGCCCCTTACTGTATTGAATCATGTGCTTGATTTGCACAGTACAACTCAAGATATTGATAAAGTTTTAGGTAAACGTTGTGTAGTGTGAATTGGCCTTAAGATCCAGTTAGGTTGAATACAGTTAGGTTGAATACAGTATGTATGTTGTTCCTCTGATTTAATGATTTTCAAAAAAGTAATATATCGCCACTTGAAAACCTTGCCATGCCACGCTAATAGATTCTACTATTGGCAGAAAGTAGGGAAGGAGGGTGTGTGAGAACAAAATCGCAAGTTACCAATATGCATAACGGTATAATTTTAATATGTATTTTTAACCCATTAAATTAAGTTGCAATGCGCCCTACCTTAGTGTTTTACTCTGATTTTAATCATCAACTCATCAATGGAAGAGCGTTATGCAATAGTGGGTGAAGTGGACGTTTACATTGTTGCTACCCAGTTCACAACTTTATATAACCTGCATGCATATAGTTACATAATATTGTTCAATTTTACAGAAGCATAAAATAGGAATAAGCATTAGAATTATGTATAAGAGTTATTCATTCATTTACTAGATAATTCTAAAGCTAATACACTGTAGTTACATTTATTCGAAACTATGCTTCGTAAACGATAACAATAGTTATAACAATAGTTAGAACAATAGTTAAGTAGGCATGTGAGTTATCAATGGTTGACAGGTTGTTAATTGAGTGTAAACAAATGTTAGCCAATTTTTTATATTCAAATTAGTTTTTGAAATCATATTTATACTGGTCATTCTACAATGCACGGAAGGATTTTTAACGCAGCACTGCTCCTACTTGATATTCTTAGAAAATTAGTTTTTTCCTAAATTTTAATTATAACTTACTCATATCAGGTTCTCATTACCATATAGGTTGATAATGCTGATGACGTGCAATCTTTAGACCAGGATGAATGTCTAAACATCATGTGCGAATGTGGCCTCACTGAAACTTTAACTGTACGTATGTCTCAAAATTAATCATTAAATCAAATAAATATAGCGTCACAAAATACGTAAAATATTTATGTCGATATAGCTTGCTGGAAAGTACTTTTCATATTACTGCATGTATATTGCTTATTTTGTATTCTTTTTTCCCAGAACGAAATAAAATGAAGATTATTCAACTACTTATTATCCATGATGTTATCGGACGACGAAAGATTGTCATAGACCAGATTGCAGAAGGATTAAACACCCTTGGATTCAGAGAGAAAATGAAAGATTTTCCAGAAATGTTTGAATCATTATTTGTCCCAAGCGCTGAGAGTGAGATGAGCCCTTCGGCAGTGGTTGACGTTCTCGAGTTTCCAGAAGTGTTGAACGAAGACGAATCTGGAATTGCTAATAATTTACAGCGATTTCTTCTTAATGCCGATCCTTCGCATCTCGAAAAATTTCTTATTTTTACCACAGGTTCAACAAGACTACCCAATTATGGCTTGGGTAAGATAAAGGTCAAATTCAACAATACTACTGCTTTTTTTGCTTCAGCTTGCCTGTTCAGTATCACGCTGCCAAATCAGCTAACTGATCAGCATAGTTTTACTGCATCTCTGAAAGCTGTGCTTGAATCATCAAAGAAATCGTTCACTTCTCCGTAGATGACTTTTGGGCTTCTAAATAGGCCGTCCATAATTGTGTGATAGTGATATATATTTGTACAGTTGTGCAAAAGTCTAATGTAAGTACATATGTATACATGACTTTCTACGAAAAGAGAAAAAAAAAAGATACGTACTTTTATTTGTGTTGCATGTTGATATTTGACAATTCTTGTTGGAATTTTAGTTTCATGTTATGGTTTGCAAAAGCAATTGTAACAAACAGATTGCATAGGTCAAGTACACTTTAATATACACTAGTTGGTTTACTGGATGAAACAATCGGAAACGGATCTTAGCAATACTATACACTGCTGTCTTTGCTCAATCACGGTGTTAGAACTTTAAATGAGGCCAGCTTTTTTAATGTTGTACGATTTGGAAAGAAAATTGAAGCTAGGAATTAGCAGAAATTTTTACCATTATAGATTCAAGCATTACTTTTCTGTTTCATGCGTCACAAAGGCTTATTGCTTAGACTTGTGTACCGCATTATATCGTACTTAACTGGCTCCATTTGAAGTTCCATCGTGACAATAGTCAATTAGAGACTTTCAAGACTATGTAAAAAGTTTAATGTTAAAATGTTCATATTATTTCGAGAAATAAATGTTGTATCAAAGTACAAATTTACACTAACTGTAGAGTATGGAGTTCAAAAGGTACACCTGTATTTACCAGTATGTAATGATATTGGATAAAACTCTAACTTGTGTTTGTTTCAACCTTGCACGTACTTGTTTGTCTGGATTTTAATAACTACTCAGAACAATACAATTACAGCTCTTAATGTTATGATAACGTACTTATATTAATGCTATTTAGACCATCATGTTAAGGGCATTTACAACATGAACATATGTGTGAACTTTGTCGGACCTGCTGTTGTTCTGTCTTGATAGGTTTTGAACATAAGCAAGTTGATCTTCACTTAAATTAAGTGAACTCTCGGGTACAACAACCCCAGCTTGATCATTTTCGAATTCATCGTCCCCTTGTAGTTCATAATATTCGACTTCCTCGTTAACTAAAACATCATCTAATGTTGAATTGCTTTCGGTTGCACATCTTAATATACTTTCTGTCCAAAGTTGTAGTGGTGATGATCCTCTTTCTGTACTAATACCATGATGATTCCACTGATTAACAAACTCTTCTAAGGAATCATTAATTAATTTCAAAAAAACAAGGTGAAGTGAAAAGATGTGTACCTCGTTATCAGGGTCAAGAAGCCCTGAACTTTCCATCATGTGAAATTCATCAATATATGCCTTAAGAACACCAGTAGTGACATCTCTGTGAAGTCTTTCGACCCGTTGGTTGTGAACGGAAGCACCAGTGATGATACTCCCTCTGTTGATGCCACGGCACTCTAGCATCATTCGAGCAACACCTACATTTTCAAGCCCGTGGTCACACCTCACTCTCGAAGGCAAACCATATGATTGGCAGGCATTTCGAAATAACTGTAGAACTGTTACTGACTTGTTGTTATTAGCGCAGTAAAGATACGGTACTAGCCTGGAGTACCCATCAATGGCTGTATGAACCACAATACGCCAGCGAATCATTTTGTGATTCCCATCTATGTGCCATAAAGCATTTGCACAACGAACGCTATAATTTCTTCTACAAATTGCCCCTCGCCAACGAAGGGCAGTTCCTATAGGATCTAACTCGCGCATCAGCGTTCTCACACGTGACCGTTGGACTCTTATTGCTCGACTTTTCAGTGCACCTAGCATACGTGTTTGTCCAATGCCTGGTGTAATACTCATAATTTCTTGCATGACGTCTCGTAATTCGGCATCGCTGATAGTAGACCAAGATTCCGCATCATCAATTTGAAATTCGTCACGTCTTCGGCGTAACGTTTTTGTAGAAACACCGAGCAATTCAGCTATTTTTGTCCAAGAAAAGTGTAATTCTCTGAGACATTCTATTTGTCGCTTTGATATTTCAAGTCGTGGCTGACCTCTCATACCCGTGTGTACCCTATTGCAATTGTAGGCTGGAGTGTGAGCTACCTGATCTTGTAGGTCATTGATAAGATTTTGAAGGAAAATTCTAAGTCGATTTAAATAGGTAGATAATTCGTCCATCTCATTATAGAAGTTCTCCATGTCGATATCAGCAATAAGATTTAATGCTCTCTGCTTTAAAGTGAAAACAGTATCTCCGGCCTCAGAAAGCCTTTCATGTATTCGCTCGAGACTATCGATATCATTGAAGGATTGGTGTTCTAAAGATATGAAATGTTCTGTTTCCGCAGCAACTGCTTTAGTTCTCTGAAAGAATGAGAAAAGACTATATTCTGTTCCCCCTATACCACCTAAAGCCGCCATCTTGGTTCGAGAGAACCGCTGAAACCAGAGGCATGGGCTCTACTATGCAGGGGGTTCCAGGCTCGCAATGCATTATGCAACACGATATAAAAGTGCTTTCAGCATATGATAAAAGTTTAGCATGTCATGAAAATTTGGAATACGATGTAAAATGGATAGCGGCACAAATTAAAGTTTGGCATGTTATAAAAAACTTTGGCATGTTATTTAAAAGTTTAGAATAAGTTATATAATTTGACAACACGATGCAAGAAGTTCTGAATGTATATGATGATGTTTAGAATGGCCTTTATAAGTTTAGCACAAGTTTTTGAAAATTATCACTGTGTATGTAAAATATGCCATGTATATTTTGAATTTAGCATGTTTATAATAAGTTCAGAATAATGTCCAATTCCGCGCCTCATACAGATATTCTATCAAGACCAGTTGCTTTCGAATTGGATAAACCATTTAGAAGTTTGACTACTTTAGTATGTGAAACTAACTTAAAGCGTGTCATTTTTGATGTAGCTGGTTTGACGAAACGATCAAACGTAATGTCAGTATCATCAATAGAACTAGCTAAGTTAGGACCAATGTCAGTAAAATATGTATAAAAACATTGGCAATTTCTTCAGATGAGGTAATTTTTGTATCATTAAACTTTAATTCATCAACAACGGTATTACCTGGAGAACGACCGATTAAGTTATTGATTGTCTTCCAAGCCTCTTTTGGATTATTATTTTGATTTGATATTTTAGTGCGAAAATAATCTGTTTTAGCTTGTATAGTAGGGCAATATTGACCTTATTCTTAGTTGATTTGTACTTATCCCAAGCAGCACGGGAACCAGTCACCATTGCCTCACGCTTTAATTTATCTCTTTCAAAGATAATTTTTTTAATTTCCCCAGTCAGCCACGGAAAGCCAGATTTTCTTTTTCTAATACACTGAACAGGGGCATGCTTATCCAAGACTTCCAAAAATAACTTTTTCCAAAGGGCCCACATTGAATCAGTATATGATTCCAGAACAATTTGCCCCCATGGCTGAGCTAGAAGGTCCTCTCTAAAAGAGTTATGGTTAAACTTTTCATGTTTCTGACCTCAACATTCCTGGTCATATTGCGTGTAGACACAGTGGGATTGATTTTTCTTATACCATAAATTAAGCTCTGCACGTGAATGTCGTTTTATATATTTGTGAGAAATTTCGTTTTATATATTTGAGGAATTTCGTTTTATATATTTGAGGAATTTCGTTTTATATATATTTTAGGAATTTCGTTTTAAATATTTAAGGAATCTCGTTTCATATATTTGGGAAAAGTTCGTTTTATATATAATACTAACGTCGTTTAACATATGGGTGTTTCGAATTATATACGAGTGTTTCATTTTATATATTTCTGTTTTGATGTATATATTTCTGTTTCGTTTTAGGCTATATACGGCAATTTCGTTTTACCAATATAGATTTGAAATATTTGAAATATACATTATATAAATGGAGATAAAGTAATATTGTCCATCTTGGCATGCCATAATGATAAAATGTTCGAACACTTATTATAGACAAAACTAAACATCGTGCCAAGTCGTGAAAATATATAAACACGTACCGTTGCACTGCATATTTTCAATTTCTATAAAGGTGAGAGTTCATAGTTGATAAGTTTTTTTAGCAAATACACTGAAATGTATCCATTTTCTTTTGACAAATACATCTGATCTGTGCTATATTACATGAAGAACAGTTTAAATCACAAGTCACTTTATATTAACAATAATGATATCATTGCGACTAGTGATCACATATATGTAGAAACAGACGACAACGACTGATTCTAAATCACCGGTCTAAATGCCATAAACCATATCATATATAACGTTTATTCGGAGTGTTGGACTGTTGGTAGTTTATTTCAAAATAATATAGAACTTCGTAACGTTGAGAAATTCAAAAACTGCCGAATTGACAAGTTCTGTTATTTTTAGAAATGACTGTAGTAAATAACTCTGCCCCACATTCCCACCCTAAAGACAAATTACGGTACATCCCAAAATCTGGGATTTCACGTGATCATACACGAACAGGGTCTCGCTGGAGCCAGTTTTTATGGAGCGTGGCGGAGGTGAGACCCTGTGAAACAGGTTGGTAAATTACGTCACAAACGTGGTGCCAAAAAAATAATTAAAAATAAGCTATAGGTGATTTCATGTATCCATTTAGAAGAGCAGACTACGGATATCTTAAAGCTGAAATCGGTTTCGAAATACAACCATCACGGACGTAGCGAAGCATCTGAAGTTTGGGGTGGGGGATGTCGGAGGATTTTAAGTGAAATTTGAATTTCAATGTTAAAAATTTACCTGAAGTGTAATAATTATAATAAATTAAAGCTTTTTGTGATTGATTTGCACTGACATACTAAGTTTCGGGAGAAAAGGGGGTCTGTTTGTCCTCCCCCAGAAACTTTTTACATTTGTGAAGCTCTAGGACTGAAATTCTGGCGTTTTTTAAAGCAAATTCGCAAACAAATTACATGTAAATTGACTGTGTTTTACAAAAATGGTTAACATTCCACAAAAATAATTACTTTATTACGCAAATTTTACCTGAATATCTCAAAATTTTAGCTTGAATTTTAAATGAGTTCTGTCTGAATTTCACAGTAGGGGGGAGTTTTACACCCCACTCCCACACTCCCCGGTCGCTACGTCCCTGACAACCATTCCTTGCGATGATATAATGTACTTTAAGTCATTTGAAAATATCTAATAATCCGCCATTTTGTTCTATTTTTAGTAACAATATGGCGGATTTTTCGACATTTGTATCACTATATATTCCCATAAAATGGTTGTATTGAGAAACTGATTTCTGCTTCACAGTACCCTTAGTCTGCTCTTCTAAATGTATTTATAAAATCACCTAGCTTATTTAAAAATTTTTGCCGTCCCATGCCAGTTAATATAGAATAGATGGTTTGGAAAACATTAGAATGGCAATGTATCTCATTTTCAATGTAACTCATTTTCTATGTAATTTACCCCATTGTTTGAGTCATGGATATGTAACTTTCCTAAGACATTGATATTGGTTAGTCACTAACTTAGTCGGGCAAAAATACAATACGCATGCGATGGTAAAAGACCAAATCCATGAAAGTTATTGTTCACTAACATAGATAAAGTGTTATCGTAAAGCCTCCTCCCCCTTCAGTATATTGAGAACTTTCAGAGCCCCACCCCCTTTAATGCCAGAAATTATATCGGTCCCCCCCCTTAATATCTTCATCCCCCTCCCCTCGGCATAATAAATATACTTTCCTTTACATTTAAAAGATGTACTTTTATGTTATGGCACACATCAGATGTCCATAAACACCACTATTTTTCTTTACAAACTAGCACTTCTCTACCATATGAAAAGGCATACAACTGAAACTGTTAAGTGGCCGAATACATGAGCAGTTTAAACAAAAATATAGCTTTAATTATCGGCGTAAGTGTTATAAATGTCAAATAAATTTCTGACTTTCATCGCACTTCTCTCAAAAGAGTGTCAATTCTGCTGTACATCGTGCTCAGTAGGAAGTCTTTAAGGCTTGATGCAATTTATTTTTGTCTTCTGACTATATATCTTTAGGCTACGTTTCTCAAACATTTTGGGCAGATTTTGGGGGAAATTATCCAGAGTTTTGGGGAAAATTTTTCTTTTCGAAATCTGGAAGGGCCATTTCCTGCGATTTCAGTGTGAAATTCATGGAAAGAGCGCAACAAAAAGAGTGTGAGAAGAGGAAAATTTTTAATGCTTTTGTTTTTGAAATTTGTATTTCCACAAATTTTAATTCTATTTCACTATATATTTCAACTTAACTGAAAATTTCCCTCAATATGGCCAATATTGGCAGAAGAAAAAGGAGAATATTGTATCTGTACATTTTAATAATACAGAAGGGTATGTAATGTGATCTTTCATTTGGAATTCCGTTTGCAACGAGGCTGAGTTACCTATTTGTTTTAGTATAAACCCCAGAAAGAAAATTGAATTCTTAACTTGAATTTTATGTAAAATAATAACCGTTTTAACGAAATGAGCGTTTAAATGGTTTCCTATGGCTACATTTTGACTTGGCTTGTTGACAACTAATGAGCAGGGGCCCACATTAAAAAAAAAGTTGGGGATGTCCTATGTTCTGAGACCGACTTTTGTAGTATTTTTGTTTGATAATAAAAGCCAACTATTTAAAGAGTTTAAATAAACGTTCTTTCAGAATTTCTGCGGTGGTCTAAGTTTTTGGGGTCCAAAAATTTTATGGATTTCAAATGCGAGCGCCCATGGCGCGAGGAAAATTTTGAATTTCTAGATTCATTAGAACGCTATTTCACGTATTTTAGGATGAGGTTTGAGGAAAAGGTACTATCGCAAAAAGGCATTTTTACAGATAAAATACAAAAAGTATCCTACTTCCGCTTCTGCAGTTTGTTGTGATTTACTGTAATTTGTTCTGTTTTTCTGTAGCGATTACCGATTTAGCGGCAAATACTGCGATAAAATTTAAATTTCGTTCATTTTTATATGCAATTAAACTAACGAAAAATGTATTATTTCCCTTTGCTACAAATTATCATATTTAAAAATAGAAAAAACTAAATTTTATCGCGGTATTTGCCGATAAATCCGTAATCGCTACAGAAAAACAGAACAAATTACAGTAAATCACAACAAACTGCAGAAGCGGAAGTAGGATACTTTTTGTATTTTCACTGTACGTCTCCTAATTGTTGTTAGATCGAAAAAATATTTATGTAAAACATTGTACTCTACACGCAAATACAACAGCAAAATAGCACGATGTCTTCTTTTTGTACAAGTCGGTAATGACTGCTGTTATGCGCGCAAATTCAAGTTCAAATGTGCTTTCCACAACCATAGACATTGTTTACTGGAGTTAGAATTGTACATAGGGAAGATTATAATTTTATTGGTAAACAGAAGAGATGGGTATC